CATGCCCGGCCATCTGCTTAAAAGCTATTAATTTAGTCTTGTCAGACCACATAAGCCTCAATTAAATCTTAAAAATGTGTTTTTTATTGCGTTATGTAAGGCCTAACATATCCCAATAGGCAACGGTCCGGTTTTCGCGCGATGCAGAAAAACGCTGCCCCACTCTCGCATGTATTTTGATCAAATTTGCTTTTTTCTTCTTTTATGATCCATTTTGCTCAATTTGGCAACTTTTCGCCTCACTATCTACTGATTTGCATTCAATTTTAATACCTCAAGCGCTTCTGTAGTAGTGCCTGCAGCGTTACTTGCTACTAAGTTCACAAGATATCGGACTGTAATATATTTTGACAGACTTCCTTTGTCCTTAGTAACACTTTAGGCTATATTTTTTCTCAGTCTTAACATTTTCATGTGGCAAACTCCACATTTTTTTGCCACTTTCCCTACGGTCCCGCCTTGTCGCAGTAAATCTATTATTTACATTTATGTTTCCTGATTAACCATATTATTTATTGGTGATCACTTCTTGAATAAATTACAATACAGAAAAAAGTCATCTGACTTCCAACTAAGCAAAAGATAACTGTAAAATGCAAAACTGAGAATGAGTGCAAAACTGTAACATTTGCCTTAACTTTCATTTTTGTCTCCAGGTTTTTTTATTGTTGTTGGATTGACCTCAAATCGTTATGAGAGCGGGAGTAGGGATGTACCAATAAGAATATAGAACAAAAGTGTGAAAGTCGTTAGAACTATGAAAGATAGCGGTGGCTGAAATAAAAAGTGTTACATCATGTTACAGTTTTGCTCGTCACTGTATATGAACACATGTATGCATAATACGCGAAGACTTTTCGAAGTGAAACAACATTTAGAAAAAGTCCAATCCAAGAATAAAAGTAAAGGTGAGGACGTACATAGATAAAGAAAAGGATAAAGGCCAAGGTAAAAATAAACACAAAAACAAAGTTGAGTAAAGATAAAGGCAAACATGAAGACCAAGGTAAATTTAAACACTTTACTTATATGTATAAGTGCAAAGGTGAAGGGGAATATGTATATGAAGAATATGATAAACATAAAAATAAAAACAAAGATAAATATAAAGAAAAAGATGCGGATGAGGATACCGATAAAAGTATAGATGAAGATAGAGGAAGAAAGATTAAAATAAAGGTAGTTGTAGAGAAAAGGATATAGATAAAGGCACAGAGACTCAATCTCGGAACTATTTCGGGATTTTAGGGATTCTCGGGACTTATCGATATAATCGATATTTTGTTGGTTTTTTTATCGATTTTGTTATCGAAATTTTTATCGATATTGTTATTGATTTTGCTAACGATATTTTTGGAACTTATCGATATAATGATCGATATTTTTATCGATTTTGTTATCTCTTTATTATCGATTTTGTTATCGATTTTATTATCGATTTTGTTATCGATATTTTTATCGATTTTGTTATCGATATTTTTATTGGTTTTGTTATCGATATTTTTATCGATTTTGTTATCGATTTTGTTAACGATTTTGTTATCGATATTTTTATAGATTTTGTTATCGATATTTTCAGAACTTATCGATATAATGATCGATTTTGTTATTTATTTTGCTATCGATATTTTCACTTATCGATATAATGATCGATATTTTTATCGATTTTGTTATCGACATTTTAATCGATTTTGTCATCGGTTTTGTTATCGATATTTTTATCGATTTTGTTATCGATACTTTCGGAACTTATCGATATAATGATCGATTTTGTTATTTATTTTTCTATCGATATTTTCCGTTTCTTATCGATATAATGATCGATATTTTTATCGATTTTGTTATCGACATTTTAATCGATTTTGTTATCGATTTTATTATAGATTATTTATCGATTTTGTTATCGATATTTTTATCGATTTTGATATCGATATTTTTATCGGTTTTGTTATCGATATTTTTATCGTTTTTGCTATCGATATTATAATCGACTTTGTTACCGATATTTTTATCGATTTTGTTGTCGATATTTTTATCGATATTTTTATTGGTTTTGTTACCAATATTTTTATCGATTTTTCTATTGATATTGTTATCAATAACCATACCACGTATTCTACGTTTAAATATAGCGGCTGTATCTCCGATACAGCCTGCAGACCAAGACGAAGGCGCTGGACTGTTCCTTTTTTCTATGGTCGCAAGGCACGCTCTTTAGACAAAAATCGTACCTTTACGGCGATGTAAATTTTGATGTGTTATGTCAATCCCTTTTATTTTAATCGGCAAATGAATTACAGATTTTGGGTGGGCTTTCCAAAACGGAACCAATCGAAATTTCAGCGAAAGTATAAGGAATTTCGTCATGAAACTTGGTGAGGATGTTGGGGGAGGCCTCCTCAACATGAATTGTTCACTCTCACAATATAATTGCTAATAGTATTTTAGCAATTTATTGTTGAATAATGTCCACTATCACCCCCTAATTTTTTTAAAATATGCCACTTATCACTTATATTTTGTGTTACATATTATATTTTCAATGCTCACATGCGTATTTTATGCTTTTATTATATATAATTCACCAATTAATTAAGTAAAACGCGTTTATAAATTTGTGTTCACGTTTTACCACTTTTCACAAACAAACAGAAATAACAATGGCCGACAGTAAGAGCAAATATGTGCTGCCATACGTTTTAAAAGTAAATACGCCACAATTAAACATCGCGCGATTTTATATAAAACACCCAGTAACCATATATTAATATAGTTCCATATATATCGAAAATTTTTAATTAAAAATCGCGCGATTTTTTATTAAAAATTTTCGCCTGCGGCGCTTTATATTCTAAAAATCGATACTTCGATGAATAATAAACATTTTTAATAAAACATCGCTTTCTATTATAAAATCGATACTTCGATAAATTATGCAACATTTTAATCAAAAATCGACCAATAAATAATTAAATTTTTTTACTAAATATCGCGCGATCATTATCTGCATTTTTTTATTGCTTCCGTTTTGTGTTTTTGAGGCATTTTTTCATAT